AAAAAAAAAAAAAAAAAAAAAAAAAAAAAAAAAAAAAAAAAAAAAAAAAAAAGAAAAAAAAAAAATTAATGAACTAAAAAAAAAAGTTTCACATTTTATTTACACACACACAGTCATGCACATACACAATTCAACTGTTAATTTTAAATGCTAGTGAAAAAAAGTGGAAAGAACAAAAGCTTTAGGTATGTTTGATGAACAAGAAAATAATATACAATTCAAAATATATATATGTTTAAAAATGAAAACTTGGGAAGAGATTTCCTCACACAGAATTTAATTATAGACAAAAGTTTCATTGACCATCACTTAAAGGGTTGAAGATTATCAAACTGAGCAAGTACATTAATTTTTTTATCGAGAGAAACATACAAAAAAAAAAAGAACAAATGGTTATACCGTTACACACTACACATATATTTTAATAATTTGATCTTAAGTAAACTGAATATATATATATATATATATATACTGAAATCCCATAACATCTGGTTAGTAACTGTTCGTACTTCATCTTCCCATACAGTTAAAAAGTTTTATAACAAATTTCAAACTACTATATAACAAAATAAGCAACATTAATAAATTTGTTACAATAATAAAAAAAACACAGCCAAAATGACAGCCCCAGTTTCTTTGGGCTCTAAACTAGCTGAACAGTTTCACAGCTATAACTATGTATCAGTGCTAGTAATAACATCTGAACAACCTCTACAAACAACTATACTTTGCAAAACAACAATTAAAGATAGAATTTCCGACACCATAGTATAGACAAGCAGCCATTTTGGGAAGATGTTAAAGTTCATTTTAATTTCCTAAACCTATTTCAACATTTATACATTTTCTCAACCAAACCTCTTTATATCTTGATATCCTTGCAACTGCACTGATGGATAAACAAAATATATTTTCCAAAATTTCTAAAGCTTCAATTCTTGCACATTCAGTCACTTATTATTAATACTGTTAACTTAAAACCCTACCGAGTAATTTCTAATACTGTTATTAATCTCATTTTATAATTTTAAATTGCAACAATATTACTCTATCAAAATTGTTAAAGGTTCAATAAAAACTGCCCTAAAAGCCATTTAATATAGCCTTTATATTAGGCAAAAAATGTCCAAAATTTTAATCCTTCAAAAAATTTAGCATTAAGTTGTTTTTTTTTTTCTTTTCAAATTTCTCATGGTTTTTAAAAAAAAAATTCTGATGAAAGTTTGGTAAACAACTTGTTACTTTCAAAATTTACAATAAATAAGACTTGTAAAAATAAGATCAGTATTGTGAAAATATTTTTCTCTCTCTGTCAGATATTCATAACAAAGTGATTATTACAAGCAAAAACTAAATAAGGTCCAAAAACAAAGGTCCACCAGTATTTTTTGAAGTATCTTCTTGTGGATATCAAGACTAGTTAAATACAACAAATTTGGTCAATGAGGATAAGAACTCACAACATAACTAGAAATCAGCGGTGAGAAACTGGTTAACTCAAATGTTAGCTTTTAAGTTGGGAAAAATGAGTCTTTCTGTTCAAAAAACTATTATTCATAATTATACTAGAAAACTACTAAACGAGTAATTATAAAACAATTATATGAAAACATCTCTTGCATACCTTAGAAAAGATCTCTAGCAATGTATGTAATAAAATGTGTTATGTAAGTAATGTTACAATCCATATGATTTATAACTATTTATGCACTAAAAATAGGCTTTTCTCAATTTCATTTGGTAGTTTTGTTACATCAGAAGAATCAGGAGGTTTTTACTCATTGGTTACTTTAACACAGAATTTATAAACAAATAACAGTTTTTCCACTAAACAAGGAAACGAGTGATTGAAATAGTTTAAAATTAGTCATGACTGCATGGAAAATGTACTTTCAGTGACTATTACCTCACACTAAAAATCCAATATCACAACTGAAAATAAAACAGTAGCACTATTTTGAGGAAGGAAATGCTTTTTGAAAATGGTATACAAAATTACCAACATGTGAAAAACAAACTAAAAAATTGACTGCATTTTTATTTTTATATTTGAATGTATCTTTTTTTTTTAGAATATCAGAAAGTGTTCCAGATTGTGGTTGAATGACAAATAATTCCCGACTGTAATGCACAACTATTCCCATTACAACATACTGGTAGTAAAAAAAAACCAAAAAAAAAACTTACTATACAACACAATCATGTGATGTGTAAAATGTAATACTTTTCAAAAAGAAATATTCTATATTCCAAAAACTGATATGCTACTATGTTTTCAATATATTTTTTCACTGAAACATGGAAGACAGCCAGAGTGTTCTCAGATAGTAATTAAAAATGATGATGCTCAATAACTCTGTGTATTTGACATTAACACAACACTATTTTGGTTAAAGTGCTTCCCAGGATCTGGTGTTTTTGACACAGAAAATTTAGTTGTCTGTAATGACACAACTTGGATTTTGATTGATTTACATAATTCTCTGCCTTATATTTAGAGTTTTCATAGTGGACTCCACACACTCGCCTATCAGAACCTTGCTCTTGTTTTTAACTGTCACTCACAAAAAAGCCTAGGTTTCCTAGGAGTGGATAAAAAAAGCCAATTGTGACACAGGTGAAACCCCCAGGCAGTTTAAAAGAAACATCAAACATCTACAATATCACTGTCTATATTAAAATTATGATTTTCTGATGAACTTTTAGAATTATGTTCTGTTTGAAACTTGTCCTTCACCACACTACTGCTCCCTGACTGTAGTTTACTTTTTTCTGTTGTTTCAGTACTGCCTGTAGATGAAAAGCGAGACCTCTTTGTTGGACCCAAATTTGGAAGCAGACTAGAAGGTGCTTTGCTGATGAGGTCAACTGATCCACTATTACCCAGGTACATTGACCTTGCTCGAGATGAGTCTTTAGAAACAGAAAATGATGGTTTCAGCAAACTTTGAGATGATATGGCTAAGGTACCAAGGTTCAAACATGTGAGATAACAATCACCAATTAAAGGGTATTTACAACAAAATTCACTTGAATAGTATTGGTTAATTTTACACTGATACAGCCACCTACAACAGTGCAGGTTTGTTTCATCTTTATAAAAATGCCATGTGAAATGGTAAAGTATGCTGTAAAAATGTCAACAAAACAACAATCAGCTCTCACTATTACAGTAGAAAGCTTTTTTCTTTTTGGATACATTTTTTTTAAATGCTATTGGTTTCTCTCGACTTCATACGCCTCATATTGAATCACTCCTAAAATAATATCAGAAAACTTGCACTGGCTTTCTTCTGGTCTTGTTTTATTATCTAAAGAGATCCAGTGCAAGTTTTTTTTATCAAAACTATCTCAAAAGCAGATCATGTCTAGAACCAAACCATTACAACACTGACTGCAAATCCTCTTGAACCTTAGTTTTCTAAATTAATACTGTTTTATATTCAAACAATTAGTTGCATTTGGAATGTGTGATTCTTGAATGTACAATACCTTTACTGCACACAGAGCTGTCTGAGGTGGAATGGAATACTTCTACAACATCAGGTGTGTGCACTTCAATATCTTGAGCTTCTTCTTCACCCCCAGTATACTCACCTTTAGCAGAAGAAAGTTTTTTTCAACAGGGTATACTTTTGTAATCAGACCTAGATGTTTCAATCTAATAGTGGTTTATTTAAAAGGATGTATTGAACTATTCAAAAGTACAAATCATCATTGATTAAAAAAATATCCCACAGATGAATCGATGAACTGAAATAAGTGACTAAATTTTACTACTCATGAGACTTATATAAACATGAGACTGTTTAACTAAACCATACTAACTTCCCAAGTTCATATTCTTCAAGTCCATGATAGAACATAATTATATTTAACAATCTGATAAAACCATGGAAAAATATAAGGTTATTTTACATAAAAAACAAACAAAAAGTGAGAGAGATATTTCACAATTATTTCAAAGAATTACTAAGAGATAAATGTGTACAAAACCCTACCTGAAAACCTTCCATCCAATGTACTGAGCATAGACTTAGGTCGAGGCTTAGGAGCTATAGGAGGTGGAGGACGTTGTTTTAACCCTGGGCTTAGACTACTGTCACCAGTTACGGGAGAGCTACCTGTTGGTTGTCACAAGAAAAAATAATAACTAATTGTGCATTAAACAAATTCCTGATGGAAACTGTTTCACATACTATAATTTTTATAATTCTAACCATTAGACTGAATGAAGAAATCTTTATTATTGTCTAAAAATGACTAAATTGTTTTGGAAAAAGTTTGCCAAAAATTGTCATTAAGTTTCCAGATCTAACTCTTTAAACCTGTGAATAAACAGTATAAATTACAAAAGAAAAGCAAACAGAATGACCTGACTGATGACCTAAAAACTGTAAACCCATGTCAGTGAATAGCCTTCTCAAATGCAATTTGATATTTACTGTAAGGAATAAATCTACTGTTTTAGATCTCGCTGAGGACGTGGTGTATATTTTGCAATAAAAACCAACATTCTCCAATAAAAATAATTAATGCCTATGAAGTTACACATAACTTAGTCTTCAAACATATTTTACAGAATTTTGAATGAGTGTTTTAAAATACAAAATATTTAATACAAAATGTATAAGACAAGTTTTGTGCCTTTTTCTCTTCATTTTTTAAATTCAGTGTTTTAAGATAAAGAAAAAGATGGAGGTGAGTGTGACAATGCTGTTCTAAGAGTACTACTGGAAAAATAATATGTATAAGCACATAACTGTTTACTCCAAAAATGAGTTCTCATGAATATAAGCCTCCTAATTCTTTCAGTAACCTATATACTTTCTCAGTAATATTTCTAGAACATGATACATGCAACAGTTCTAACAATGTTATATTAGTTATAGACTCCAATGTAACGAATTTGTTATTATATCAACGTTTGTTCAGATTAAATTTATATTTAGACACATACATAACTGACACTGTTAAATATGTATTGCGAAACTCCCGCCTATTCTCCAAAGTTGTAGAAGATTCTCGAGAGTAAGAATCAACAATATACGTGTGTACGTAAATGCTTAAATATGTATTGC